CCTCAACACCCCCCCGCCCCGTGCCCCCCCCCACAGCCTCAGCACCCACACTCCACCTGGCCCCCACAAGTCCCGATGCTGCCTGGCTGCCGAACACCCAACGCTGCCTGGCAAATACCAGCGATGGGCAGCCAAAGAGAATGGACTGTGAGCCAGGAGCGTTTTGTAGGGCTTTCGATTGTATCCATTGAAAACCACCTGTGTGAAGAAATGGACTTTACTGACATCATTGAAGAATGTGCTGCCAGAGGAGCTAGACAGCTCTAGTAGAGCTAATACAAATTACAATGTTTAATTATTAATGCAGAATTGTGTTTAAGAATGAATTACAATAGAATTACAATAAAAATGGTCCAACTAAATTCAGTCTCTATCAAATTTACCCAATTCACATTTAATATGAAAAATAACCTTCAATTTGCGCATTTGACGTCTTTTTTCTATTTTCTCTCCAAAGGGGGCCCCGCAAAACTCTCAACCGCCCCTGTCTGGTAGCACCTTAAAAACTACCAAACCATGTCGATGGGATCATGAGCTTTCGTGGGTACAGCCCACTTCTCCGTGACCGGAGTGTTAAAAGTCCAGATCCAAGAATGAATACGATACATAAGATAAATAAATAAGAAGAAATAAGTTTGTTTATTCTTGGTCTGGATTTTCATCCTTAAGTTAAATTCTTAGCATTAACTAAATCTTAGTGGTGTTTGTTTAGACCAGGGGTGTCCAAACTTTTTTCAAAGAGGGCCAGATTTGATGAAGTGAACATGCGTGAGGGCCGACCATTTTGCCTGACATTCTTTGAACCATTAAAATTAAATGCAAATTAACTATTTTATGCAAAGTTTATTGCAAACGGCATACTTTTCATTTCGTCACATGGATGACAAATCTAAACAGGTGTTAAATCACTCTGCCTTTCATATCTGAAGGCCAGATGAAAAAAAAATCCAGGAAGCTGAAATATATGTCAGGAACATTGTAAAGTACATTACATATTATTGGTAATAAAGGTTGTCTGTCAACTTTTAAGTTCAAAAAATATGAACAGGAACATAACACCAAGTATACATGTTGTGTCCAAATATATTTATAACTGATTTAGACCAACTGACATTAACTGAGATTTTACAATGTATTCATCTCAATACATATGGATTCGTTGGGGGCCATAAAAGATAGATATTGCCAAATTACATGTGGGGCCGTATTAAACCGGAACACGGGTCGCAATTGGCCCGCGGGCCGGACTTTGGACATGCCTGGTCTAGAAAGTGCTACCGAGTTCAGGGGGAAGGCAAATAGTTCCCCCATTTAGCAAATCAACACTAGAGGGAGCCAGTGAGAGATTCTTCTGCAAACCCGTCTGTGTTTCACGCCTTTTCTGCACGAGGAGGCGGGGGGAGGGCGTTCCGTGTAACGTACCCGATTGGGACTTAGAGCAGAACTCTTGAGCAAAGACCCTCCCGTGCTGCACAGAAAGAGACGATCCTGCTGCTGCCGCAATTTTAGATTTTTCTTTACTCCCCATTTATTTTCTTGCTGGGGACATTTGCAGGAGGACGAGCTGGCAGCTGCTTTCCATAGTCTGTCCTGTCATCCGCTGCTGCTGCTGCTGCTTTCTCGCCCAGAGTCCTAGCCCTCTCCGCAGGCGCATGGGGCTTGAGGGGGGAATAAGCAGCGGGAGCAGAGGAAAATTTCTAAGCAGCCGTGACTCTGTTCTTCATGCAACTGATCCTAATGCTGAACCTCCGGGGAAGAGGGGAGGCACAGTCACAGCCTCCGGCTCCAGCGAGGCCGGTCAGAACCCCGGGTTGAACCCTGTTCGGGGGCAGACGCGAGGAAAGTTGAGCAAGTGTAGGAGAGAAGAGCTCTCGGCTGAGCGGGCTGCACCCAGGAAGGGTGAAAAGTGCAGCCCTGGGTGGGTAAACATGGTGCTAACTCTTCACAGAGGCTCGGCCTGGAGATGTTAGAAACGCCTCGTTTCCTGGGGTACCGTCCAGGGCAGGGCATGGTTCTTTATAGCCGCTGGTCCTAGAATGCGGCAGGAACTCTGTGAATACTCTTGGCAAGCAACCCTGGTCGATCGGCCGAGGACACTAACACGGCAGAGAACGGGCTGGACTTACCTATCTCCTAGCACTGGCAGGGACCTCGAGAGTCATCGAGTCCAGGCCCCCGCCCTCCGGGCAGGACCCAGTTCCACCCCTGACAGATTTGCCCCAGATCCCTACATGGCCCCTGCAAGGACTGAACTCACAGCCCTGGGGTTAGCAGGCCAGTGCTCTTGAAGGGAGAAAGCTGACGCCGCGCGCAACCTTGTTTTGCAGAACACGTCCCCACTGCGTGTGCGCGGGTCGATGCCCTGCGCTCCCACGGGTACCCCAAAGAAGCACTCCGCCTCACCGTGGCCATCATCAACACGCTGAGATTGCAGCAGCAGAGGCAGCTGGAAATTTACAAACACCAGAAGAAAGGTAGGGGCTGCTCCCAGGCAGAAGCCCCTTGGCTTGGCCAGGGGGCAGGGAGCAA